GAGACCTAGACGTAGATGGGAGGACAATCTCAGGCGGTATCTATGGGAGATAGGAGTTGAAGGAGACTGGATTTTGTTGGCCCAGGACAGGGTCCGGTGGAGGGCTTTGGTTAATTCGGTGATGAACCTTCGGGTTCCGTAAGCCATCTGGTTGGTTGGGTCCACTATTTGGGAAGCCTGAGGGGAAGAGACCTCTGGGGAGACCTAGACGTAGATGGGAGGATAATGTCAGGCGGGATCTATGGGAGATAGGAGTTGAAGGAGACTGGATTTTGTTGGCCCAGGACAGGGTCCGGTGGAAGGCTTTGGTTAATTCGGTGATGAACCGTCGGGTTCGGGAAGCCATCTAGTTAGTTAGATAAGTAACATCAAATATTGCATTTGGAAAAACAGGACAGAAGCAGAAAACCATGGACACTTTATAGCTGCACTTAGCAAAACAATGTTGGCAAGGGATTATTGAAACACAAAAATACAACAGCTGAAACATATCATAACAGGCATTCCTTTTGCTTTAACGAACTTTGAATATGGATATTTTTCTTGTTTCGCCTTAGTACGTGGATGTGCTACAGGTATACTTAATTAAAAACTGTTACAGAATGTAACTTTTAAAATACCTCATTTCCACTTCACAACACACCTTCCACTGGCAATACAAATAGTTCTGCAGTCCCTTTACAAACTATTTTAGTATGACCTGAAGTCTGATAGCTGGAAAATCTATGAAGGTAACATGAATACCTGAGAACTGAAAAAGAAGGGGAAAATGAAGGTTCAGCCATGGAGTGAGGAGAAAATTCCTCGCAAAGCCATCTGGAATGTTTTTTCTATCATAATCATATCCACTATGCAAAGCTAACTAATGGACTCCTAACGTCAAGATCATGAATACATGGAGCTTCTGACTCAATGCCCCATCAGTGCTTATACGGGTAGCCCTCGATTTGAGCCTGTTCAATTTTCGCCGATTCAGAATAACGCCGATTTTGAAACCAGAAAGTCAAAGAGTGAAGAAAAAAAATTACCATTATTTATAACGTTTTACGATGTATCTCGCACTGATTCTTATACTAAATCGTAATTCTTACATCGCCGATTTTGAACAAAAATTATAAATATAGTCATCTCTGTAATTACGTGTTTCATTAACGCGAATTTTCTCCAATGAGATCAATGAATAGGTAAAAGCTGTTTGTGAAATGAAAACTTTTGCATATGCGAGTTTGCTCTTGTGCAATTTCATTCCTGGCGCTTTAAACTTTCAAAGGGCTAATTTAATCTCTGCGGAGGTACCGGAGTTATTTTTACGACGCGATTTTCTACAGGTCGGCGTCTTACATGAATGCACTTATCGCATAACAGCAGAGATGACTGTACACACAAATCACATGAAAGAATCGCATTCAATCGCGGGGACGAACAAATTGCCGATTGTGAGTGTATAAAATATATTTTTTAAATTCCCTTTATTTTATTTACGTTATTTCAGAGCTTTATATGTAATGCCATTATATTACTCGTCAATGTTTGGGTGCTGGGAACACATGTCTTCCCACTGATTTACATTATAAAAGAGTTTCAATTTATGCCGATTCCGTTTATGCAGGTTCGTCCAGGAACGCATCCCCAGCGTAAATCGAGGGCTACCTGCATACCGGAACGAAGACAACGGACAAGTTTTACAAGAAACAAGGCCCAAACACAATGCTGATGCAAGACAGAATCGCATAAAAGCAAATGTTCATTTTACTATACCTAATTTGCTGCTTGATGCCCAGTGCATGTCACATTATTAAAATCATGAAAGGCTGGTTTCATTATCAACTAATATGAAAATTAATCCGTCAAAACCAAACCTTCTCTGATGCAGTGGCAAGGCGTGTTCCTTGTAAATTGAGTGCTATGCAGCTAAGTGCTGCTTCATGTGCCACTATGTCAAGAGGTGCCCTCTCCGTGTTCGCTAGGTCAACAACTTGAACGTGTCCTGTCTTCCGTCCAGGGAATGCCAGTAAAGAATTGTTGCTATTTGGACATAGTACACACAAACCTGAAACACAATTGAGGGACTACTTGTTGGTGACAAACAATATGACCTGTATACAATTTCATAATCTACTTCATAAAGTGATTAGAATACTTCACGGAAACCTTGAATTATGAAGTCTGTTATTCAACCTTCAATGGCTTCCATGCTCCTGGATTTGAATCCCTAATCACAGATTGAACTTGCAATTTAACTAGATACAAACAATTAGGATACAGCATTTCCTAAATTCACAGAATCTTACTTTACCAGAGAGAGAGAACACATGTCACGTGGCCAAGTCCTGAACCAGCATCAGAAGAAACGAGATCACTATAACTGATTGTCTGCTACATTAGAACTCTTACCTTTAGGATTGGGGTTTGTTTCAAACACATGAAGCTGCTGAGGTGCTTGGGTGAACGTGTATACTTTAATAACACCCTCTAACACAACCACTATCCTATCACGTCTTAACCGTACACCTCGAACAGGGGCATTGAATTCCAATGCGATCACCGGTGTCTTCTTCAAGTCATCCCATACCATAACTGAAAGTTAAGAAAAACAAGTGCAAATGAAGACATCACCTTTGATTGTTTTGTGAATTAGTGTGGCTCAACAAATATCAGTTTATTTCATTTGGTAGGCACCTGAATTAATCACTAGGAAATACAAACATTGAATGTAACACACAGACTTTAAAAACTTTCTAACTGAACATTGTGACCAAGTGGTTAGTACTTTTTCTTCATATATGAGAGATCCTGGTTTTAAATTTCTAGATATCCTGAAGATTCTCATAGTTTTCTTCTGTCTCTCAGGCAAATGCTAGGATAGTACCTTTAATCAGGCCAACTGATTCATACATGTTTCGTTAGTTTTCCCTCACCCAACATCACTTTACCAACTTATCATATAAAACACCACATATTTTTAAGTAACTTTGATATGTACAGAAATGTTTTAAATAACTTACATATATTTTCTAAAAACTTTAAATTATTTAAGAATAAAAAGTAAACACATTAAAGAAAGAATCTAGAAAAGGACACAAACTACTGAAACTGTATCTTATGAATCCTCTTTTCCCTTTAAACAAGGCTTGAATAATTTGTGAGATGTCGAAAGAAGGCCAGTGTTGCCAGGTGTGCTATAACAGTGCATATCAATGTTACATGTGCTATAAGTAGAAGTGTTTGAAAACCACCAGGCACCAATGTTTCTTCAAAACACTGGTATCCACCTAGCATTGACACAGTCTTGATGAATAATAACATTAAGATATTAAGAAATTTTTTTTTAATAGTCTCAAAGTACTAAGAAGGAAACAGAAAGAAAATAGCTTATTTAATTATGAATGGCTATAAAGCTTTATTCTACACATTTGGTTCTTTCAACTGGTATGAGCACAATTACTATGAAATAAGTCATACTCTACATATATTCTGTCACTCAACTTCCAACAAAGTAAAAAGCTGATTACAGTAATATATTTAGCATTAAATGATCCGATGTGTTCCTAATTGCTGACATTATTTAGCAAAGAATCAACTGAAAACATGATTATGCACAGTAAAATGGAAATTACAAAAGTTAATTTACAGGTGGCCTTTATGTGTATGTCATTATCGGAATCATATAGAAATTTCTGGTTTGATTATAATTAATTTATTACATCATGCGTTCATGTCAGTGTCTTGCAGTGGCACTCAATTCCTATCATGCCTTGAAAGTAATCTTATGCTACTTACAGTTCTAACGAGGCAATATTTCACTGACCTCAAGTTGCAATATTCGAGGTGATGACTACATAAGTTTATTACCTCTATTCGGTGGATACATTGGTTTTGGTCCCCCGCCAACAAGGGCCAGATAATTGCATCGAAAGAGCATTTCAACATAGCTCAAACCTCCTTCTGCAAAATCTTGTCGTTCTTTCTCCTTCAAAGGATCGCAATTGTAGACCCGAAAACCATTTTCCATTCCGCAGGCAAAACAACCTTAAAATGTTAACAATTTCACAATGCTGTAATACACACAAATACATTATGCAGCAATTGTTCTATATGCAGAACATTAACCGTCAAAATTGCAAACCAATGTGACACACGACTGCCAACATACCTTGGTCTTGATTGAAGCCAGCATACAAAAGACCGTTGCCATGTGTATTTGACATACCCAAATTCATATTTAAGGTACCGAAGTATTAAGTAGGTTCAAAACAATAAATTAAATATATTTTACGTATATTTTATGACATAAAGACTCCTAACTACGACATACTCGGTGCCATCTTTATTGACATATTCTTCAACCAATTGCATTCAAAGAATCTAAATTTGACCAATGGGGAACGGGACAAGATTGAGACGCAAGATTTCATCATGGCGGCTAATGAATTACACTATTAGTAAATTTAACCTCACTACATTCAACACTATGTTAAACATATACTTGCAATTTGTACATACTGTACAATCTAGGAAAGTTACAGAAACAGTAAGAAAAATCTGCACCTCCTATCAGCTGTATAAAGAAGTTCCAAAAAGTCTGAAAGGTCGTAGCAAAAGTTCACAAGAATGGTTAACAAGGCAACTTGCCGATCCATACGTAGAAAAGGCAAAAGTGTTGAACTACAGGTATTATTCGGTGAATAACTGTGTCGGTTATTGGGCTTCATTGTTGTCGCTTCATGAAATTCACTACTAACAACAGACCAAATATAAAGTTTAATATATGTTATGATAGTAAAACAATTGAGGTATTAGCAGCAAAATTCCTTGGTTTACAAATTGATAATTTTACTTTAAAATTAGTTTACATATCTATTTCCATCATGTTATAAGCAATTATGGAAATTTGACAGCAAAACAATATTTATCATCCAAAAGAAAATCATTACATGAATGGCAGGTGTTCAGAGAAGAGTATCGTGCAGGGAAGTTATTTAAGAAATGTAATATATTCCTCCTTGCATGAACTCCTACTCCCATTACTGTTTTTTGTTGTGGAAAATGTGGAGATGTTCCAAACAAACAGACATACATAATATGAATACAAGGCACATGCATAATCTCCATCATCCAAGTGCTAACCTCACTAATTATCAGGTTCTTACTATACAGAGATCAAATTATTTAATACTCTTCCAGAGACCATTAAAATTTTAATTCATGACATAAAAGTATTTAAGCCAGCATTGGAAGATTATCTTTTATTTCACTCGATACTATTTATGCAAATAGCTCTAATAAGTAGATGGTCATATCTCTTATTATTCATGCATTGGTGCAGAATTGTTTTTTGGACAGCATTTTTCATAGCAATCATATTGATACTGCCTGAAATGCACAATGTAAATTGTTAATTCAGAGTTTACACATTCAAAATATCAGGAATAATCAGTTTCACCACTGTGCTCCTGCAATGAATATGGGTTTGAAATCACTCATGACTCATTTTAAAACATAATTTAAGTGTTTAAAAAGGATACATACTCCAGCCATCATCTAAAGTATACTCGTTACTACTAGTAAAATTGAGCACATCAGCCTTGCTGTAAGAGTTTCTTGATCCCCAGAAAATTTATGTATAGAACGTATTAGATATGAATGAGGGTGGATGAAGTACTCCGTCACTAAACTAGAATCTTCCCGATAAAACTGTACAGTTGGTAGTATTAAATTGTGTACATTATTTGTTCTATTTGTTAACAGGTGCCGTAGTGCATTTAAACTGATTGAAATTGATGATAGATTCAGTCTGCTTTCTCCTGGACAGTGTGTTGTCGATTGTGGTGCAGCACCTGGAAGCTGGACTCAAGTTGCAGTACATCGGGTTAATGCAAATGGGAAAGGTTATTTTGTTGTTAAATTAATTCCTAATTGAATTATACCAGTAAGCAAATCCTGTTCCTGTCATTTGCGAAGCTCTTGACACATTGAAATGTGTTGGTGAAAACTGGGATGTGATGCAGAACTATATAATTTAGAAATACACGCTTTAGAGTCTAATTTATTTAATTTATGTTATGCAATCCTACATAACTGTTATACACTCTTACTTGAAAACATCATTAAAATTCTTTTTTTCCCTTCATCCTATCTATGTCTTATTCCGTACCTTCATTTCTGAACACGACTACTCCATTACAACACTTTTACATAACCTGTATACAGTCAACATGCACAACATACATTGCATTGGAGTCATATTTCCATACCAGGTATTTGAAAGAAAACTAGCACAAGAGACTAACCTTGTAAACCCCAGTGGTAACTATATGTACCACCTGCTTTAACAGTCATTAACTGTACATTTTGTATTCATGGGTCTTGTATTATTATCAGTGTACACAGGAACTATTTTCTTAAACAGCATTAATAAATTGATCTTTGTAATGAAGTGTTGTGTTTTCTTTGAGGTACGGACTGAATCTTAAATATTGTTTAGATGAGCTGTGCCTTCAAAGGGTTAACAGATTGTAAAGGACTGCATAACATAAGAAATTTGAAGACACTGAAAAGTCACTCTGTGTGTGTGTGTATCCCTGAGAAATTATTTATAAAATATGTGAATGACATAAATATGTGTTCTTTGAAATGTGCATAAAATTAATGCCAAATGAGGAATTCAAGTCTCTCTACAATGTAATATTGTCAGCACTCAGTAGCTACTTCCACAGTAGATTTGTCTGCAGTAAATGAACACCAAAAATTAGTAATGTTAATATTTACATTGGGGAAATATGACTACATCTGGGTCTGTAATCGCTTTAAAATACATTTAAGGCTAATTCTGTTTGTACAGATGCCAGGAAACCTGTGGGACAGGTCATAGCTGTCGATCGTAATCCAATATATCCAATAGAAGGTGCTATGTTGATGGGTGGAATAGATTTCACAACGCCTTCTGCCCATGCAAAGTTACAGGAGCTATTGGACGGCAAGAAAGTGAACACTGTTCTGAGTGACATGGCTCCAAATGCAAGTGGTATTCGTGAGATGGATCATGAAAATATTGTGCATTTGGCTTATTCTGCATTGCGATTTGCTGTGCAGGTGTCATGTGTAGGTGGATCTGTACTGCTCAAAGTATGGGATGGACGTGAATCTGCCAGACTAGAACAAGACATTGCAAGGTTCTATAAGCAGGTGAAGATCGTAAAACCTCCTGCTAGCCGTTCAGACTCTGCTGAGAAATTCTTGTTGGCTAGAATATTCAAGGGCTTAAAAACATAATATATTTTCTTAATAGGATGTTTTCAATTATGTGTGCATTGAATTCAGAAGGTACTTTGATAGAAGTTAGGTTGTCTTATCAGTATTCATGCACTCTTTGAACTCCGTATGTAAAGTGGGTGCATAATGAGGATGTCATCTGTCTGCCCAGTAAGTGATGTTCACGTACCGTGAATGGAGTAGCCTGCCCCGAGCCAATGGGAGCTCTGAAACGTTGGTAAACATCGACCAGACTACACAGCGCAACAACCCAGAAGACAGAAATCTTCATTCTTAAAGAAGGCTTTAAGACCAATGTGATTTGTACTGGAAATTAAACTTACCTAAGATAAATAAAATGTATTTTTTTATTCAGAATTTGCACAGAGAAAAAGCTTCTGATCCCACAGAAACTCTGCCCATGCCTGCAGTCAGAAATGTCCATGTCCCCATATTTCCTACCAGATCCCAAAAAGTAATTCCTGCTAACTACCAACTGTTAGATTAAACTTCATAAACTTACTCCACTCTCTGAATAAATTCTGAGTATTTCGTATATCCTAACTTCAGTTACAATATGCAAAATGTCCTGTTGAACTCCATAAAATGTTGGTGCATAAGATTGCCAATTTTATCAACTTTGACCAGAACAATCCTCTTTTCCCTGCATTTTTAAATTCTAGTTTCTCTTGCTGCAGGTAGGCAAATAGTTTCAGGATACACCTCTTCAACCCCTGTCAGATTTTAATAAAATCTGGTATCAGATACCCTCATGAAATATACCAACAAAACATGACTTCATTATATATCCCAACCAAGGTCAATGATTGAACAGTGAGAAACAGAATTATTCATTTAACGGAACAGGATTCTACATAATGTCACCATTTTGTTAGCTGGGGCTTCCCACACTTTACACAGGTGGAGCAAAGGTCCATTAGATAGTGGTGCTATAGCGACAAGCATGCTAGCCAAAGGTCCTAGGTTCAATGCTAACCATCAAAATTAAAGACAACAACAACAATAATAATAATAATAAACTCAGAAAATATTTGGCCAACGCCCTGGGCGAACACGACATCAGGGAACTGCAGAAGACCGCCATTTTGGGATCTTCATACATCATTTGAAAGACGCTGTCATAAAATAAAATTATATAATACATGTAGCACTTGCTAAAAACAATGTGTATCCCGGAAATAGCTGCTGCCCTACGTACCTTAGGGACAAGGTCTGTCTCGGGTACATGGAAGTACATACCCCATAAAGTGGTGAATAGATGGGATAACAATAATAATCAGTCATCTGAGGATGGGAAGGCAAGAGTTCCTAAAATGTGTATACCTGAACTTATACACACTTGAATTCATTCTAATGCTGTTTTGAACAGAAATTACATCATACAGGCCTTTAATAAGAATCCAAGTAGATCTGCATTTTCATTCCCTATTTACATTTATTTGCACAAATATTTACAAATGTTTCTCTATCAAAACTATTCACGTCACATAAACCGCAGCTGATAGACCCAGTGCTTCTGAATGGAAGTGACGGGTTAAATTTAATAGTCTCCTCCCTCCATTACGTCAACCAGTATCAGCTTTCAGGATTATGTATGCCTTCACTGCTACTTCCTGACATCACATGTAAGGCGATGGATTCTGACTGGGACTCTGTCGGATACTTCTTATGATATATATACATAATTACTGCTAGCATTATCTCTAACACCAACACAGCTAAAAGGACGTACACTGAAACAGACCCAATTCCAACAGCCAACACAGGATCAGAAACTGAACAGACTGTGTGATTCAGTACAACCCACGACTGTCCTGACAGCTCTGTAGGGCTAGCACATGTAGCAATGTTGCCAACATTATGACTTGCAAACCAGAGCCACGTATCTTTCAGTCCACAGTCACATGTTAAATTGTTATCAATGAGATAGAGTATTAACAAGTTTTTCATTCCTTGGAACAAGTATTCAGCATCCAGCAGCTTTATGTGGTTGCCAGTCAGATCAAGAAATACCACATTATGTAAATCTTCAAACACACGGTCAGAAAATGCCTCAATGATATTATTTCTCAGCGAGAGTACAGTTAGGTTGGTAAGACCTTGAAAAGTTCCAAATTCTAGAGTGCTTAGCTTGTTCTCATCTAAACTCAGTACCTGCAGGGTCGATAAGGCACAGAAGGCATCCTGATGGATGCTGTTTATCCTGTTCTTACTCAGATCAAGTTTGCGGAGTGACTCCAGACCACAGAACGCACCAGAGTTCAGGGTGTGCAATGCATTGTTTGTCAGGTTAAGTAAAGTCAAATTTGTCACGCCGCTGAACACTCTATCTTGTAACGCTGTCAAGTGACTTGAGACGATCTTGAGCGTCCGAAGATGCAATAAACCTGCTAACTTTAACTCGTTCTCATACAAGACAGAAATGTTGTCATGTGTCACATCAAGGTGTGTGTACCAGAACTGTATGCCCTTGGGCAGTTGGTGTAGGTGCGTGTAAGCGCACAGTATCGTCGGAGTCCAACGATAGCATAAACATCCTTCAGGGCAAAGCACTTCACTGTCAGCCTCTCGTAACAATACCAACATCAGAACTAAAACATAACAAAAAACAACAGAAACAGTTACCCAAGAGCAGACATTTGTAGAAAATAAAACAATGCACTAATACAAATTGTAGGGACACGCCTACATAACACAAACTCAACACTGCTGCAAACACTTAACAGATTTAAGAAATCCTTTCAAAGTTAAACAAAGAAAATAAAAAAATAATAATATTATTTCAGAATATAAGAAGAAAAGAGGATGCATAGATAGTTTCCACGTAGTTTAGATGAAAATTCAGCGGATAAGGAACAGTCGTGCTGATGGCTGAAGTTTAGAGGCATTAAGGGAGAAATACAAAGTCTATAGATCAGGTAATCAGCTCAAACTACTTTAAGAAAAAACTGGAAGCAGACGTTGACTTTTAAGAAATCCTTTCAAAGTTAAACAAAGAAAATAAAAAAATAATAATATTATTTCAGAATATAAGAAGAAAAGAGGATGCATAGATAGTTTCCACGTAGTTTAGATGAAAATTCAGCGGATAAGGAACAGTCGTGCTGATGGCTAAAGTTTAGAGGCATTAAGGGAGAAATACAAAGTCTATAGATCAGGCAATCAGCTCAAACTACTTTAAGAAAAAACTGGAAGCAGATGTTGACTATATAAAGAATATGAAAATGCTATTGACTACCTAACATCAGGTCTGGCAAAGAATGAATACAAAATAAGATACGATAAGGTCTGTATACATCAACAGTACTCAATATCCAAAGCGTTGGGGATCGAAACAACAGGAAAATGATACTCGCACACATCTAAGCCAGTATGTGAACATGAAGATATAAAAGTTCTATGGAATCAAGAAGAGACAGGTTCTGGCAAATAGGCCTGACATAATTATTGAAAATAATAAAGATAAAATTTGCTTAGTAATATACATACACAGAAATATTAGTCACAAAATGTACTGAGAACTTGTGATTTAATTTTTCATGACTTACAATGATGACCTCACAGAACATAATGTTCTGCGTATGGTCCACTGAACCTTGTATAAGACTAAGAATATGGCTAGTGTGACGATGTGATCTTTCATTCCAATTAAAGATATTTGTTCCATGGTTTGCCATGACAATAAATATATATTAGAAAGATAAAGACAATTGCAACAACCATTAGATTCTTTTATGAGAATTCTGTGTCCTGGTAACTACACAAAGAGGTCAGAATGTATTCTGATTTAGTAGTCAAAAGAAATTTATTTTTGCTGATTGTGAGAGAAAAATATGTTCATAGTATCCTGAATTCTTAGGGTACATCTACTGCTTCCAAGTGAACAAAAGATAATCAGTTGCCATGAATGAGATAAGAAATGTTCACAAAATTTAAGGCAGAAGAGATGAATGGAAGAGGCCACTTGAGAGATCTAGACATAGACAGAACAATAATATTAAAAATATTACAAGAGTTTGCACAGATAGGGTGTAATGATGCAGACTGAATTCATGTGACTCAGAGTAAGGTTCAGTAGTGTGGCTCTTGTAAACATTGTAATTTGTCATTGGATACCAAAAGTGGGAAATTTCTTAATTGGCTGAACGACTATTAGCTTGTCAAGGAGGACTCTGCAACATAGTTTGTTGGTTGCACTGTCTAGCATAAACAGGGAATTTTTAAATTGTTCATGTTAAGTGGGCTCATAATTTGAGTATACGTCCTTAACCCGCATGGCATTTAATAGACGAACACCAAGTCCATTAAAACAGTTAGTTATGATAATTAACCAAATAAAATGAAATATTATACTATTAAACGTCTGAATTTATAACGATACAATTATATACTAGCTTGCCAATTTTGCTCGAATGATAAGAATGGCTGTAAAACTGGTAAGTTTAAAATCATGGGTAAGAGTGACTGCTATAAACGGCCAAAAACATTGTACCTGTGCGAGATGCAATTCGTTGATAACCTTGAAACATTGTAATATATTTTGCGTATGTGCGACAGCGTACTTTTCCATCACTTTCAACACTTGTTCCAGTGGTGCCAAGTCTTAAAATTTCCCATTAATAAGTAGAATGCTGTACGAATAATAGCATAGTCATTAATGTTTATATATCACTACAGTGTCGGTTTCTTTGAACAGTTAACAACAAAATTTCGATGGCAGGTGGAAACAGTGCTGTTACAAGTGTTTTTTGGAATGCAATATTATAAAAGGAAACTGAAACTCATGTTTGAAACATTCCTTGTGTCTGGCAGCAACTAAGAATGACAGCGCATATTTCTCATACGCAGCTCGAATCACATGATTACTCGCAACACGTATAGATGTTTCCGCTATGCAAATGATACGTTGTAATTTATGAGATCGTGTGGTAGACGAATTAAACCGGATTAGCTTGTGCTGTATAAATGTCTGCAATTACTGAACAAGGCCTATATTGCAGTGAAACAATCCGAAAGCTAAGTTTGTGCCTTTGTAAATCATTTACGCTGGAGTACAGTCAAAATACTGTCCATTAAGACCAACATAAATTACGCAGTGAGGAGATTCATAATTGTATTCTTCACGAAATATAGTGTGTCCCAAAAAATGTGTACACACATTCGATGAATGATATAAAGGTATTTTAATTAACTAAATTATGACATACGTCAGCATTGGCAGTGAATTGGTTAATGTAATGTAGGTGTTCAAAATGACCACCGTATTTCATAAACAAAACACATGGACATCGAAAACAAGGATAATATCCTGTATAAAAAGTGTATACATGTTTGAGAATCTGTATTTTTAGGGTGATAACTACAAGAAGAATGAGATGGGCTGGGTAAGTAGTACAAATGTGAGATGTGCGTACATAAATATAACTCGCACATTTGTAGATACGATTATAATCTTTTTTTAACACGTAACATTCCAAGTGCCTGCCTTCAGTAGTCGATTACTGTAATTAAAACCGAAAATATTTTAAGCTCTTCCCATGATTTTACTTTTCATAAGTAACCCAGCAACTCCAAAACTGTGCCACTGGACATAAATAAATTCACCCGCGTTACTACATCCATCATAATTATATAATCCAATGTCCTCTGTATTCCGATTGGACGCGATCTGTGGGATTTTCTAACCAAAATTCTTTAAACATTCCTCTGACTCCTTCATCATCATCGGAAATTTATTAATTTCAAAATAATTTTGTTGTACACGACTGTCGTGAAGTGTTTCGCTTGTTCTCATTTCGGAAACTGGTCTCATGTGTGCAAGTTACGCGTTGTCCAAGTTAAGTATAGGCCTCAGTATAGGCTTGCGTACTATGCAGTATTCTGACAATGGAAGGTTATGATAAGGACATGTACAGAATCACGATTACCTTCTTACTTGGAGAACTACAAACCACGCATTTCAACGCAAAAGGAACTGTCTATCATTTCGTTATTTATTTATAAATTCAGCGTACACTTACCACGACCATTCCATATTTTTACATTAAAGGGGCGACGAATGAAATTCAGTCTCAGCACGATGAAAGACTTTAAACCTGAATTATACAACAACAAAAAAGTGTGAAGTTGGCTGTTTTCTGGGTTGTTGCGCCGTGTAGTCTGGTAGAAGTTTACCGACGTTTCGGAGGTCCTTGTTGCCTCCATCATCAGGGCGAACGTACTGTTGTCTCAAACAGAAACAATGTACCAATCGTGTATGATGATAGGTGTGTGAATCATTGGTGGAATGATGATTAGTAAGGAAAACCGAAGTATTCGGAGAAAAATTTGACGCAGAGTCACCTCATCCAGTGTGGTCTGCCCCGAGACTGAATTCTGTCTCCAGGGTGAGAGAGAAGACGGCGACCAAATAGGGTCCCCAAAGATGAAAATTCAGCTAAAGGGGAGGAGATTTGAGACGATAGAAGAGATTCAGGCAGAATCGCAGATGGTGCTTGACAGGCTGGCAAAGAAAGATTTCCAGGGATGCTTCCAGGCTTGGCAGCGGCGCTGGGATCGTTGTGTTCACTCCCAGGGGAACTACTTCGAGGGTGATGGATGAATTTAATACCTGAGATAAGTGTACGGGTTTTTATACGCGCAGTCTGGAAACCTTCCGATCGCACCTCGTATGTAGGTAAGGAAAATGTAAACAGAGTTGCACTTGGTCAGAATAGAAGCCAAAAGTTTCCAAACAAGGAATTCCCTGACTTTGTGAGTAAACACTGAACCCTGACAGGTGGGTTCGAGGCGAACGTCCTCCATAAAGCAAGTTACTGGACGGACCGTCAGCATTCATTCGGGAGTACACTTCCTTTCGCGACTTATTTTGGATACTTGCCCAGTCACGACGAAAGGTCATCGGATCGCTTAGCCTTGCACTTTTCCCTTCTCGTAGACTAAAGCAGCGAAACTTGGAAACAATTGAACGACATAATCTGAACGGATTATAAACATTAAAAATTGTTTTGTCTGAAATAATGTTCACTAATACCTTCTGTATTATCAGTTCAAAAAATGTTAACATCCCTCTAAATTCTAAACCCTAACGATAAAGCCCCTAACCTCGGTTGAACAAAGTGTGGTACACGTAAAAAATATATAAATGCTCAAAATCTGATCTACCAAGTGATGAAATTATTCGTATGCTTTCTTACCTTAGGAAATCCATAAAATGAGTACAGTTAACAGTAATTATCCAGTATAGATGTCATAAGTTTAGTCTCTGAGTTCAATTCTTGCACATGGTATTTTTAATGAAACTGATCACCTCGCAATATTACGAATATCGATTGTTGGTCGCTTAAATGAAACAGGAACAAATAAATAAAAAAAGTGTTAAAGCTCTGATTATTACAAACTGCTGTGGTCTCACTTTTTTAGTGAAACTGACACAGCAAGACGTGCATTGTGCAAATGCGCAAAAATCGATTCGTGGATTAGAAATCGATTTAAAAGTATCGAAAGTGATATCGATATATGGACTCGTGAATTAGAAATCGATTTAAAAGTATTGAAAATGATATCGATATATGGACTCGTGAATTAGAAATCGATTTAAAAGTAT